CGCCCCGCAACTGAGGAATGGCTAAAAGATGTGGGTTTTTTTTTTTATACAATGGAGTAATATTCAGCCATAAAGAAGGTTACATTTGAGACATTTATAGCTCTAGACCATACCACTCAGTAAAATAAATCAGATACACATATGTAAATATCACATTGTTTCTCTGGTGTGGGAAGATAAAAGTATAAATAAGAACCAAAATATATATCAGATATTGTGAGATACAAAGAAAAGTTCAAAAGGAAAGGGGAATGGGATGGAGGAGGGAGGAAGGGAAAAGAAAAAAATGAGAAAAAAAAGGATAAAATGGAAACAAAGCTTTTGTAAATAAGGAAGGGGAACAGAGGTTAAAGGGAAGGGAGGGCAGTTGGAGAAAAGAAAAGGAGCTAAGATACATCATGTACTTGTTTCTGTTTATTGATTTGTAAATGTTGAACCGTTCTTGAATCCCTGAGATGAAACCTACTTGATCATGATGGGTGATTTTTTTCAGTGATGCATTGTATTCTCTTTGTTAGTATCTTGTTGAGGTTTTTTGCGTTTATGTTCATTAAAGAAATTGGTCTGTAGTTCCCTTTTTTGGTTGGATCCTTGTCTGGTTTTGGACTCAGTGTAATGGCAGCTTCCAGTAGTGATTTTTAGGAATATTCTTTCCCTTTCAGTTTCGTTAAAAAGCTTGAAGAATATTGGTGTTAGCACTTCTTGAACTTTTTATACAATTTAGTAGTGGAGGGCTGGGGTGATAGCTCAGTGGCACAGTGCCTGTATAGCAAACGTGAGGTACTGAGTTTGATTCCTAGTACCCCCTCAAAAACAAAACAAAACAAAACAAAACAAACAAACAAACAAAACATCCCCGGCAGAATTCAGCAATGAACCCATCCAGACTTGGGCTTTTCTTAGTTGGTGGGTATTTATTACTGCTTTCATTTCATTACCTCTTATGGGATTATTCAGGGTTTTTAAATCTTCTTGGTTCAATTTTGGTACTTCGTATGCATCCAGGAATTGATCCATTTCTTCTGTATTTTCTAATTTATTGACAATACAGATTTGCAAAGTACTTGTTAATCATGTTTTTTATTTTGGCTATGTCTGTTGTGATGTCATCTTTTCATTTGTAATTGCATTGATATGGGTCTTTTCTTGCCTTTTTTGAGTAGACTGGCTGAGAGTTTGTCTATTTTGTTTATTCTTTGAAAGAACCAACTCTTAGGTTCATTAATTCTTTGTATTTTAGTCTCAATATCATTCATTTCAGCTCTGATCTTTATAATTTCCCTCTGCTGGTACCTTTGTTTTGTATTGTTCTTGTTTTTCTAAGACCTTGAAGTACATTGTTAGATTATTTATTTGGGTTTGCTCTATTCTTGTAATGTGGGCATTCACAGCTATAAACTCCCTCTAAGGACTGCTATGTTGTACTGGCATTGTCATTTAGTTCTAGAAATTGTATTTATTCCATAGTTTCTTTCATAATCCTTTTAGTTAAGAGTGTATGCATTCATTTCCATTCATTTGCATAATTTTTATTTTTCTTTTGTCATTGATTGTAACTTCATTTTGCTATGGTCTGACAATTCGCATGGTGTAATTTCAATTCTTTTACATTTACTTAAGGCTGATATTTTGGCTAGTATGTGTTCTATTTTAGAGAAAGTTCCATGTATTGCTGAAAAGAATGTGTATTCTTTTGTTATTATCTGCAGTACTCTATAGGTATCTATTAAATACATTAGTTCAACTCTGATATTGTTGATTTCTTCTCTAGTTGATCTATCTATGATAATGAAATATTGAGGTTCCCCCCTTATAATTGTGTTTATGTGTATTTGATATTTTACATCCACTAGTACTTGTTTTGTGAAGTTGGGTACATTGTTGTTTGGTGCATATATGTTAATGATTGTTACCTCTTCCTGTTAGGTTGTTCTTTAACCAATATATAACAACTTTCTTTCCCTGTTTTGATCAATTTTGGCTGGAAGTCAACTTCATCTGAATGTAATACAGTTGCATCTGCTTTCCTTAGGGTTCCTGTTGCATAGAATATTGTTTTCCATCCTTTTATTTTTAATTTATGAGTTGCATTTGGGATTAAGTGTGTTTCTTATATATAGTATACTATAGGATTTTGTTTCTTCATTCATCCTGCTAGTTTGTGTCTTGATTGGGGAATTGATATTGAGAATTAGTACTGATAGGTATTGATGTATTCCTGTCCTTGCCTTATTTTCCTGTTGTTGATTCCTTGTCTTTTCCTTCTACTTAACTGCTTGCCCTACTTGGGCTGTTCATTCTATTAGACTTTTTGTCATTGTTGGCTTAATTGTCTCTTTCTGGAGAAATCTTGGAGTGCTGGTTTGATGGTCATGAATTTCTTTAGGTGCTCTTTCTCATGAAAATACCTCATTTCTCTGTCCATTTTGAAAGATAGTTTTACAGGGTGGGGCAGCCTGGGCTGCAAATTGTTTTCTTTTGGGATATGAAACATTCATTCCAAGCTCTCCAGGCCTTTAAGGTTTTTGTAGAGAAGTCTGCTGGAATTCTAATGGGCTTCCATTTATAAGTAATTTGTTGCTTTTCTTTAACCACTTTTAAGATTCTGTTCTTGTGTTGGACTTCTGGAATTTTGACTATGATGTGTTGTGGAGAGATTGTTTCTGACTGGGGTATTTGAAGTTCTGTACGCCTCACCTGTATGTTAAATTATTTTACCTTATTTGTAAAGTTTTCAGCTTTTATATCAGTAAACAGGTTTTTATGTCATTTGTGCTCTCTTGTTTTTTTACTAATTCTAATTAATCCTAGATTAATTAGATGCAATTAATCTTTGCATCATCTGGGATCTGTTTAATCCATTTTTCATGATTTCTTGTTAAGATGTGTCTGAGTAATAGGTTGCTGGCAACAGCTGTGTCTTCTAGTTCTGAAATTGTCCTCACATTGGTTACTTCTGCTTTCACTAATTTCTTGAATTTCTATTTAGAGTCCTTTTATGAACTCTGATCCTTTCCATGATGCTCATGCATGTTTTACATCATTTTGTTTAGCTTCTCTACCTTTTCATTAGGACATTATTTGGATTCATTGATGATTTTATTTGGCCCAGTACCTTGTTAATTATATCTTCTGTGATCTTGGCAGTTGCCTTATTGAACTGTTTTGATATCTCCCCTGATACCGTTTCAGATAATTGAGATGAGAGGCTTTTGATTCCTCCTCTTTCATGACTTATGGATCAGCTGGGGAGTTGCAGTTTTTGGAGGCATTTTGTTGGCTGATGTTCTCATGTTTCTGTTTTTTTCTTTGTTGAGTGTCATGGGTTTATTGCAGTGTAAAGTTTTGTTTCTAGTATGGAGACCTCCTTAGTTAATGTCTACTTCCCAGTGGTATTTTCTGGGTATGGCTAATTACTGGTCTTTGTCCCTGTCCTAGGGTACAACTACCTCCATTTACTTGAGATGGAAGGTTGCAGCGTGTTTGGTCCAATATGCAATTCTCCCAGAATAGGCCATAGTATTATTAATAACCCCTAGGCCATCTAAATATTGTCATTTCAAGAAACAAATTAATAGCAACAACTATGACACCTTTACTACTTTAATGAAATACCAGTATCAATATTAACATTAAATACACATTGAATAGGTAAATCCCTGACTTACAAATGAGTTTTATTTCAAGAGAATTGTTTGTAAGTTGAATTTGTTCCTGAACCAATAAAGTGAGTCTTACACAGTACACCTGTGAAAGTTCACAACTCCAATGTTTGTTTAGTCAGGGACTTACTATTGACAAACCCTAAGGACAAATAAAGTACCACTCTCATCCATAGAAAAGAGACGTTTAATTATTAAGTCAAGCCAAATATTGACCTACTTTTGACTTACACTAACAATCTACTAAATGGAACAACTGTACCTTTACTAACAGTGACACAGTATTCAATAGGCATGGCAGAAATTATTTTTGTGGAGATTCATAAAGCTTAGTAGTTATTCCAGTATAGGTGAAGGTAGTGGAGAACCAGAGAATGGAAAAGGAAAAAAGAAAGCAGCAAAATTTTAAAAATGAAATAGTAGAGTACGAAAAGGAGAGGAAAGTAAGATAGAAGATGCTATTAAGGAGTAAAAGGAAATGAATTGTGACAGAGAACAGTCACTGCAAGGAATGAACAAGAAAGAGAATCAGAAGGATAAACAGCAAAAATAGGAGATAAAGGAAAAAAGGAAGAGAAAAAGTTGTAAAAGATAAAAATAAAAGGTGGAGGAAAGAAACTAAAAGAAGAGAAAAATAAAATAGAAAAACCCCTAACCCCAAGCAAACATGATGAAGAAAAGATAAAAATAATATAAAATAGGAAAATTTTAAAAATTGAGTCAAAAATATTTCTTGTATTATTGAATGAGTGGTTTCTTTCCACTATTTGCATTCTTGGGATCCAGTCAGTCATGGTTTTCTATGCATCGCTTTAGGGCCTGTGGATCTTTGAGGCACTCTTTTTGCTCTAGGGGCCCCTCTGTTTATTCCTCCTAGATTATGATTACCATTCAAGCCCAGGTATGTCCTTGTTCCCCTTGGTATTAGGGAACATGACCGGCCTTCTGTTCTCTGATGGATGTTGGTTACAGGGTGGAGATTTAAGTGGGCTGTTGGGCTTACTGTTGACATTCATACAATCTGATGGCTCCTTCTCTCCCCTGATGTTGTCTTCATCCAGGATTGGGTAGGTTGTTCAGTCTTTGCCTCTGCTTCCCTGTGCTATGCTTCCCTGGGGTTCCCTGGGATTGGCTCTGTCACATGGGGGTGCTGCTCCAGGTCTTCTCTCTCACACAGGGGCCTACATTTTTTCCTTAGGGTACTCTTCTATGTTACTGTTCTTGTAAAGAAAAAAAGGGGAAGAGATGACTATTTTTCTCTGTTTTAGGTATAAAGAAGAAAAGACTAATACAGAAATGAAGACCTGTAACTAATCAGACTGTTTTCTCTAATAACAGGTGATGGGAGTGTACTGGAACAATGGGAGAAGCTGGTATCTTATAGAAAGCCAAGATGACAAGAAATTTTTTGCATAATTTGTAAGTAAATTTTTGATAACTCTTTGGAATTCCTTTACTTACTGGGTGAATTACCTTTAAGTCATCTGAAGGTCAGCACACTCAGATAACTTAAAAGTAAAAAAAGTGTTTTTAAAAAGTAAATACACAAAAACTTTGGACAACTGATGTTAACATTGGGTAAATTTTACTTTTGTGTTAATTCTTTCTTGGTAAGTGTGCCTTTTTTTTGCACCATTTGTTTGATGCATAAATCAAAAGTCTTTGAAGAATTAAAAGATGATTCCTTGTACCAAATCACCATTTAAATTAAACTTGTAATAGCCCATCTGAAATATGGACATTCTTGGTCCCAGTGGTTCCTTTTGTCCCATTTCTCAAGTTGCTTTTGTGGGTGCATTTTAGAAATAAATACAAACTGGGTGAAAATGATTAAAGTTGAGTTCTTTGCCTATACCTTCTCCCAATCACCATCAATATTTGTTAATTATCTGACAGTTAACATATACTTGACTTTGGTTTCATTATGATAATGATAATGCTAATACATGTGGTTATCATGCTTACATGGCTTCTGATAATGAAGATAAATGCTAGGACCAATTTAGAATTTAAATTTCTTTGGCTGAGGAGGTATGTGGCATTGTTGAGTTGTTGACTAAGCTCTGTGACGCCCTAGAATCCTTTGCCCTTCTGGCTGTTGAGGGATAATACTTGGAGATGGGTCAGACTGCTAACTACCTTTTGAGCTTCCTTCTGTCCTTTCCTCCATATTCCCTCAAATCTGCATTCCTTCACATGATGATGCTGGAGGCTTGAGCAGCCAGGCTGCCTCCTGACCTACTACTGCATGCTGTTTTGCTTTTGATTAAAAAATTAAGTTTTAAGAAAAAGTAAATTGTCCCCAGAGAGAAATGAAAGAAAACCTGGGAAGCTTAAAGTTCACCTTGGCTTGATTAAAATCTTGGAAGTAACATGGAGGAAAGAAAAGAAACTGGATTCGGTATTTTATTGTTTCTTCAAGAAGCGTTTTCTTAGCTTGGTGCCATAGTGCACAAAGACACTTGTCATCCTAGATATTTGGGAGGCTGAGGCTGGAGGATTGAAATTTAGAGGCCCGCTGGGCAATTTAGCAAGACCCTGTCTCAAAAAATAGAAAGAGCTGGTGATGTAGCTTAGAGGTGATGCACTTGACTAATTTGCCTGAGACCTAGGTTCAATCCCACCATCACAAAAACTAACTAAAAAAACAGAAACAGCTTCTTTAGCCTTTTTAATTTGCCCTTTAGAAGAGAATAATAGAAGCCTAAAATTGCTAAGAAATAGCTTAAGATTGTGATGATTGTTTTTATTTTAAATCTCACATCTACTTCTCAAGACACTTCCTTTATTAAAACTTAAAAAATGCTTTGACTATTTCAAAATATTCTTGTGAGTATATCCCCTGAATCAGACTTTAAAACCTTAAAATATTCACTTCCTTCTTAAAACAAAAGATATTTATAGTTCCCCATGAGTCAGACAACGATTGGATTATTGCAAAATTAATTCTTGAACATTTCATTCAGAAGTTTATGATTAAAATCTGAGAGCCTAGCCTGGATTGTGAAGTATTGCCCTGTGACTTATGTTGATGGAGGGTGCATTTAGTAACTTTGAAAGCAAAGCAGTAACACCTGATGGAGAGATTTTACCACACATAAAATATTCTCATTTCTATATCATCTCTCTCCCCAAAATGGACTTACACTGTTTCTGAACATCCCAAGTATAAGTGAATTTCTGATTAGAGAGCTGATAATTGTATAGTCTTTAAATATGTCCAGTTTACAGTCTTACATTATATTGAGATTAATGATATAGATCAACAGTTTGATAGATACTTGGGAATCGTGAATTTTGATGGTGGATTATAGTACAAATAAAACAGGCTGTTTCCATTTTAGGAATCAGTAATCAAGCATGAAAAAAGAAAACCTAACTTCAATATGAATGTGATGGATGTTGTGAAAGATGTATACAGTGCGCAGGAGGGAGAGACAATTTATCTGGAGGGCAGGAGAAGTGGGCTGGGGCAGGGAAGAGTTTGGGAGCAGAGGATATTTGAATTTTGAATATTAGATGACTGATGTCTTCTATTAAAGTATAAAAATTAGCTGGGGATTTAGCTCAGCGGCAAAAGCGCCTGCCTGGCAAGCGCAAGGTCATGAGTTCGGTTCCCGGTACCAGAGAAAAAACAAAAAAAAAAGTATAAAAATTAACATTGATAATTTGGAAGTAACTGGAAAACAGTATTATCATTACTAAGAGATAGCCATTGACATTGTGTTTTTGTATTCTGCAACCTCCTTTCCGTGCCTAGATTAGAAACACATTTTACACCCAAGGTCAACCAGGTTTTAACTATTGTTTTGTAATCTACTTCAACTGTCAATATATTGAAATAATGCCATATCAATAAATATACAGACACTATATTTTTATTATTATATAGCTTTCTGTGCTGATGTGATTTATAGTGTTCTCTCTTACTGGGCATTTTGGTTATTTTTAGCTTTTCATTCTCATTAAGTACACCAAAACGAACACCTTTATGTATCCTTCATGGTGCACTTATTCTGTGGTCTAGGCAGGATCTTCAAAGAGAGGGCTAGAATTGTAGTTCAGTACATGCAAATAAGGAAGGACAGGAGATGGAGGATAAGAGGGTAGTTGATTCAGAGCCCTTTCATTCGTTCTCAACCTGGGGTCATTTTGGAAAAGTATACTGTACTTTAAATGAACAACTGTTAATTTCTTCATTTGTTCTTAATTTTCCTTGTTTTGGGAAGAAATATAATTTGAGAAAGATATGGGTAGAGGCAAGTGTCATCATTTAATAATAATCCTTCTATAATGTCTCAACAGCCCTGGGAGACCTATTATGTTGATTTTTTTAAAGTGAAATGGAGGCTTTAAATATTGACCTGCCAAAGACAGTGAGAGAGGTAGCTTTGGAGGTCTGATCTAGGCACTGCGGGGTCTTAGGCAAGTTCTGGGACTTCACTTGGATGGCTGTCAGGGTATAACAAGATAGTATCTGAAAGATTAAGAGAATAGCACAAAGTCCCATAGAATGGAAGGACTGCTTCTTAAAACGGCATCTTACAGGATGAGGAAAAGCTCTGCTCAAGTGATGTTCCATTTCCTTTGTAGTAGCTTATATTATTACCAAAATACTAGCTGTTCTTTCTCCCCTCCCTCCATTCAGTGAGAGAATTATCTTATCCCACTCTACTGAAAGCTGAATCTTCATGGCTAGCTTGGCCATAAGACTTACTTTGCAAGTGAAATGTAAATGATTATGGTTTGTGCCATTTCTGAGCAGAACCTGGTAGGATGGCCTGGTTCTGCCTTTTGCATGTCCCAATTGAGGTGCTCCTCCTACCTTGGTCCCAGAGTGAAGACGCATGGAATCTGCAAGGAACCAAACAGGAACCAGGCAGCATTCAGTAAGTCCCCAACATGTGAACATTCAAGTTGCTAACTTTCAAAAATACCAGTGGACCTTGTACTACAAAGATTCATAGATATGAACAGATGATGAGAATAGTTCATGTGTCTGCTGGACATTATCATAGTTGTGCTGCTGTGTGCTTATTGTGCATAAAAGTAAAAAATAGTTTATTTACAGTAGTTGTGTATGTGTTTGGTTTTTTAAATGCTTTACATTGTATGGTTGTGTTAAATGTGTATAAGACTGACTTTGTCAGACACACAAATGAATCTGACTTATGAACGTTCTCCTGCAATGGAACTTATTCGTAAGTTGGAGACATACAGTTGGAGACTGTAGTTTAGCCTGAACTGATGTACCCCTTATGTACCACCCTCTCTCTTTCAGGATACATACACACACAGTAATACCAAGAGCTTCCTTTTTTACCTTGAGGGATAGTGTTATACTGCAGATTTTCGTGCAATAAAGAGATCAGCCTTGATCAGAACTTACCAATTCAAAAAAGGAATTTAGGGTTGACTAAAATGACCCTTTTCTTTCTTTTTTTTTTTTTCTTACAGCATTTATAAAACATATCCTGTGTCAAAGTTTGGACTTTTGGAGGTTTAAAATAACACAAGCCCTGGCCTCGGCCTCCAGGAGTCTCAAAGTATGGTGCTATATTTCCAACTAGCTGGGGATCGAGGCAGGGGTGTCAGCAAGGAGAGTGCCACTTGATAATCTGGGAGCTATAGTCATTAGTCTGTACCCACTCCCAGAGTTCAGTATTCTTCCAGTGTCATTGTTTCTGTTAGTTGGCATAGATTGTCTCCGCTTCATCCTTAGCATATGTTCACTTTATCATTTAATTTATACTGCATGTTAAGCTTCCCAGTTCTCAATTTGTAGCTTTCAGTCAAACAGTTTGTACTGACTTTTTCACTAGTTCACTGTCTGTTCTTTTCTTTGACATACACAGTATGTCAATTTCACAGGTGACATGTTAATTTTTGTTTCCTGTCATGTAAATTACTTAACACACAGTCATAATACAATTAAGGTCTTCATCAGTTGACTGTTTTCTGTGATTTGTTTTCCCCTCCTCAAGTTATTCTCTTTTCCAGGATGTATGAAATAATTCTTTATTGTTAATTGGGGTACTCCTTTCATTTCTCTTTTTATGGCATCTAGTATGTTTTAGGCTTTGCCATGGGACAACCAATTTGTTTTGCCTTAGTAATACCTTAACTGGGATAATTTAGAGTTGACTTATCGTAATTTCAGGTCACTTTTCTCATGATCTGATGTATGTCAAAAGTAATGACTAGTTCTGACTCCGAACCATGGATTAACACCAAGGACCTCATAGAGGTCTGCCTGATGAGCAGTTTTTGGGTGAAAACAATGTCCAATTTAGCTGTTTCCTTTAAGATTGAATTCATACAGTGATACCTCAGTTGCTGAACTCAGTTCATTCCAAATTCATGTTTGAACACTGAAAAGTTGAGGAATAGACATGGTTTTGAAGCTGGCCCTCACTGGG